TGTTGAAAGTAGTACTACCTTGGAGGCTTTTTCGATCTGGGAAACACAACGACCCTTACACTTGGACACAAAAGCATGTTCACTTTTGCTTGGATCGGGACCTGTACAAGAGATTACTTTCTGGTTGCCTTTCGTGTCTACGGTAAGTCATTTTATCGCAGAAATAGTTTTGATGTAGACCCAGGCGAATTGACTAGAATCTAACAGACTTCTGGTTATCTTTCAAAAGCAAGCACCTGTATTAACGTTAAAGACGAATCAAGATTGATCGAAATACGGAAATAGTTTGGGCTTTATGATATGAAAGCTCATATTTTTCTACAATGAATATTGCAAAATACTACCATGTTTAGCCGAGTGAACGAATCCAGAAGACATTAAAGTCCAAAAATTGAGGGTACAATTTTAATCGTACCTGAATCTACTTGCCTGTCTTAATTAGATGACCTCAATGAAGTAATTGCGGGATAAGATGGTGAGGCGAATGGTTTCGTCGGGTGGAGGTCGTGCTGCCAATTTTTAATAAGTGCAAATATTTGCTAAACTTAGTGCGCACGACTAAAGTATCAGAGTTTTGACCTGCTCTAGGTGACTAGTCAAGATCATGAATGCAGCTATCGCAAAACACCTGGTCAGTGTGAAGAGCACTTTCCTAACAAAGACGCGTTTTTTGTAAAACTAGAATTCCAGTAATAAGCATGAAAGTGCATTTGCATTTTTACCACGTCAAAAAATCGATAAACACAACCCCTCCCTCCCCTCTCCTCGTCCCACTTTCTCTCCCCTCACTCCTGCCCCCTGCCTCCACCTCCAGCCAGCCAGACGAACAGACAGGCAACATGGTCAGTGGTCGGTGACGCGACACGGACAAGGCGAATGCACAAACACTCAATCGCGCCTCACCTCGTGTGTTCGTACGCGTACGGGGAAGTCCAAACTCAGACGCCTTCTGCCCAAAATGCGCCCCTCCTCCTTCACCTTCCCTACCCTTCCCTTCCCTTCCCTTCCCTGCACTACCCTCTTTTCCTCTCTCTTCCCTCCCCGCCTTGCCTCTGCTTCTTCCCACCTCGATTGCCTCATCTTTACCACTTTGAAGAGAAAGTGGGCCGTTAGTAAGCCACTCGCCGTAGTGCATTGCATTGCATTGCATTGTCAATGAGCTGTCCCCATCGAGTCCAGGCCAAGTGCCAGGGCGGTGGTGA